ACATTTTCAGGAAGACTGTTCCAGATTTGAGCTGCATGAATCTGAAACGCTGCCTCCTCATGTTTAGTCCTGACTCTGGGACCAGCAGAAGTCCAGTCCCTGTGCTCCTCAGAGTCCCAGCAGGAGGCCAGTCCCTGTGCTCCTCAGAGTCCCAGCAGGAGACCAGTCCCTGTGCTCCTCAGAGTCCCAGCAGGAGGCCAGTCCCTGTGCTCCTCAGAGTCCCAGCAGGAGGCCAGTCCCTGTGCTCCTCAGAGTCCCAGCAGGAGACCAGTCCCTGTGCTCCTCAGAGTCCCAGCAGGAGGCCAGTCCCTGTGCTCCTCAGAGTCCCAGCAGGAGACCAGTCCCTGTGCTCCTTAAAGTCCCAGCAGGTCAGTCCCTGTGCTCCTCAGAGTCGCAGCAGGAGACCAGTCCCTGTGCTCCTTAAAGTCCCAGCAGGTCAGTCCCTGTGCTCCTCAGAGTCGCAGCAGGAGACCAGTCCCTGTGCTCCTTAAAGTCCCAGCAGGTCAGTCCCTGTGCTCCTCAGAGTCGCAGCAGGAGACCAGTCCCTGTGCTCCTCAGAGTCCCAGCAGGAGGCCAGTCCCTGTGCTCCTCAGAGTCCCAGTTGGTTCACAGCAGCTCCTCCATCTCTGCTGCCGGGACCTAAAGCGCTGTTGTATTTTATCACTATTTTTAGCCACTTTTAGAATGATATAATTATTTGTTTTGTTGATTTTGGACACCTGCATTTCTCCGACAGGGATCAATAAAGTATCTATCTTTCCGTCTGTCACAAACATGTCACAGATGTACTTTGGGGCGAGGCCGTGGGAGATCCAGTAAATGCCCCATAAATACCAAAAGGGCCGTTGTTTTAATTTAAATCCAAATCCTTGCATTTCACTGTATTTTTTACGTCTTGTTTTGAGCCGTTAATACAGTGAGAAACAGCTCGACATTTAGCAGAAGCCCGACACACAACAGGCGAAGGGAAAACGGCAGTGATCCAGAACCATAAACACAGAGGCAGAGATAGAGTTGTAGAAAATCCATGAATGAACGATTCCAAAATTAGTCGTTTTATCACAAAATTAATTCAAAGTGAATTCTACGCAGAGACGACTTCTATTTGAAAGTCGGCTTTGAAGGTGGTGCCAAAACAAATACTGTACATTACAACACAATGAGGCGACGACGGAGCAGGGTACAACACAGATGAGACAGAGATAGATAGATAGATAGATAGATAGATAGATAGATAGATAGATAGATAGATAGATAGATAGATAGATAGATAGATAGATAGATAGATAGATAGATTTATTCCCAAATGTGACAAGAGTACTCGACAATCCGCAACTTTTATCCAGTTCTTTGTACCCGGCGGCTTGTATAAAAATTAATCTGATGTATTTTTGTTTTGGTGGAGCATTCTCTGGGTATTTTAATATATTTATTTTGTATATTTATATTGTTACATTATTTTAGCTTGAATATAATTTTAACAAGAATGGGACGCAAGCTTATTGTCAAAACAGCCTGGATTCAACAGCATGCTTTGTCCTTAACATAATGTGTGTGTGAGTGTGTGTGTGTGAAATGTAAAATAGCTACACACACGAGAGAGATATTGTCAAATTAATTATTGAATATTTTAGTGCATAAATAATATTCTGAAACATATTTTTTTCCAGTCTTGTAGGGTCAGGGGTCAGGTGGACACGTTTACTTACAGTGTGTGCGTGTGCGTGCGAGTGTGTGTTTTTGTCCCTTTTAAACTAGGGCACTGTACAACTCGGTTAATCAGCAATTACGACCACGCTATAATCTTATATGAACTTCTACCGCGTGCACCATAAAATATTTAATTACGGCGTAACACCTCAGATATTCACGTCATAATCCAACTTACTTGACGCTGCAGTAATGTACAGTTTCCTGTTGATTCTTGGAAAGTGAGGTGTAAATATAAATAAACATGGCGCAATCATAAATGTTTAACTTGTGGCTGAGGAGGCTCTGGATTATGCCCGAGTCTCGCTGCACAAAAGTTGGGGAGAAAGTGTATATTCTTACCTCCAGTCGCGCCTTCAAAGTGCCAAAGTTCACCCGGAGGATTTGGCTCCAGAGACGGGAGCGCGGAGGTGTGAGGCCCCGGGGTTGGAGCGGAGGCGAAGGCCGCGGTGGAGGTGGAGGATCACGGGTGCGGTGGAGGTGGACTGTACCCAGGGCTGGTGTGTTCGCAGCCCCGGGACGTGCTGGGGTGGACTGGGTCTGCAGCCGGAGCGGAGAGAGAGAGAGAGAGGGAGAGAGAGAGAGGGAGGGGGGGGGGGGGGGGGGGAGAGAGGGAGAGAGAGAGAGGGGAGAGACGCGCGTCCGCTGTGCGCCTTCACAATAAGAGAAGAACCGAGAGTGCGAGTCTAAAGTAGGGGTGTCAAACTTATTTTGGTTGAGGGCCAAATAAAAACGGGCTGGTCAGGGGCCGAAAGAATGAGTGGGTTTCACAAATACTTTTTTATAATATGAAGGTATCTGTATAAAAGACTTGTTTCACATCAGTTGGATTGGACATGCTTTTCTGATTATATTTAGTTGAGTTTCTGTGGACTGAACCAAAACTGGACCAAAAATTGAAGATATATAGGAGGATTGTCTACTTCCAGGTGGATCATCAAGACTATTGGTCCTCCCAACTGTCAATCATTCTGGTTATGTTCAAAAAGTGGAGAGGGCGGATCTTTCCTCAGAAAATTGGGAAATCCTCCTTTATCTTTAAGAAGAAATGTAATTGAAGACTTGTAAAAAACATAACATAACAAAACTAACTTCTAATTACATCTTGGCTTAACATTTTTTATGGAATTAAATTTTAAGGTTGTTTTCTTGATAAAATTAGTGATGGAGAACATGCCATTTTTGCTTGTTACCATCAATGCTGCTATAGTTGATATAATATTTTAAAATCATCTCAGGGGCCACTGGAAATGGTCTTGAGGGCACAGTCTATGGCATGTCCAAGCTGTGGCCCGCGGGTCATTTGCGGCCCGCGGTGTCCCTTCATGTGGCCCTCTGCCTTACTCTGCCGCACTAAACCTTGTGTGTTTGTGTCTTTAGTTTAGCACTCTGAGTTTTTTGTGCATGAAGGACTGTGCTACACAAATAAACTACAACACATACTTTTCCAAGACTCTTCATGTAATATCAACGAAAGCAGAAATTTAGAAACCCCAGCTTTAAAACGAGCAGTCGTCAATTTGCGATTGGTTGTGTTCTTTTTTAAAGCTACCAACCAAAACATCTTCTCCCTTCCAGCCACGAAAAACAAAAGAGAATTCAGGAAGTAGCGTCCTGAGGTGGGAGGAGTCTGCTCAACCCTGATCTCCGAACGACCAATCAGGCGTCAGATCTCCGACACCAGAAGAGAAACGACAAACAAACAGAAACCATTATCAAAAAAGTAGATTGAGATCATAAACGTAATTTCATCTAGAAAATGGAGCTGGTGAGATGTCAACCATCATTCAGCCAACTTCAGCTCTGACTTGGCTATTTGTAAAGAACTGTTCGAATCCAGCCAAAACACTTTTACAAACTGGGTTGTAGGCCCCTGGACAAGTCGAGTCCAAGTCCCGAGTCCAAGTCAGGTCCCGGTCTCTGTATATGTGTATGCCAGAGATAAAAGTCATGTTGAAACCAGATCATGTGAAACACTCTGAAGTTTTTTTTCTAAAAGGCAGCAACAGTCGGTTTTAAAGTTTTTTAAAGTCCAAGTCAAGTCCAAGTTATGTTCTAGTCTAATCCAAGTCAAGTCCAAGTGAATTCCAAGCCAAGTCTAAGTCAAGTCCAAGTCAAGCCCAAGTCAAGACCAAGTCAAGTCCAAGTCAAGTCTAAGTCAAGACCAAGTCAAGTCCAAGTCAAGTCTAAGTCATGTCCAAGTCAGGTCCAAGTCAAGTCCAAGTCATGTCCAAGTCAAGTCCAAGTCAAGACCAAGTCAAGTCCAAGTCAAGTCTAAGTCATGTCCAAGTCAGGTCCAAGTCAAGTCCAAGTCATGTCCAAGTCAGGTCCAAGTCAAGTCAAAGTCATGTCCAAGTCAAGTCTAAGTCATGTCCAAGTCAAGTCCAAGTCAAGTCCAAGTCAAGTCCAAGTCATGTCTAAGTCAAGTCCAAGTCAGGTCCAAGTCAAGTCCAAGTCATGTCCAAGTCAAGTCCAAGTGAATTCCAAGCCAAGTCTAAGTCAAGTCCAAGTCAAGCCCAAGTCAAGACCAAGTCAAGTCCAAGTCCAAGTCAAGTCTAAGTCATGTCCAAGTCAGGTCCAAGTCAAGTCCAAGACAAGTCCAAGTCATGTCCACGTCAAGTCCAAGTCAAGTCCAAGTCAAGCCCAAGTCAAGACCAAGTCAAGTCAAGTCCAAGTCCAAGTCTAAGTCTAAGTCAAGTCAAGTCCAAGTCAAGTCCAAGTCAGGTCCAAGTCAGGTCCAAGTCAAGTCTAAGTCAAGTCCAAGTCAAGTCCAAGTTGAGTCCAAGTCATGTCCAAGTCATGTCCAAGTCAGGTCCAAGTCAAGTCCGAGTCCCCGTTTCAAGAGCTCACTGGTGTGTGTTTTATCTGTGTGCGACCTTTTACAATTGTGTTGCATGAATCAGTTCCTCTTCTACACTTTGTATTTGTGTCAATAAATACACTGGTCTCTCTCTGGTCTCTCTCTGGTCTCTCTCTGGTCTCTCTCTCTGGTCTCTCTCTCTGGTCTCTCTCTGGTCTCTCTCTGGTCTCTCTCTGGTCTCTCTCTCTGGTCTCTCTCTGGTCTCTCTCTCTGGTCTCTCTCTGGTCTCTCTCTGGTCTCTCTCTGGTCTCTCTCTGGTCTCTCTCTGGTCTCTCTCAGGTCTCTCTCTCTGGTCTCTCTCTCTGGTCTCTCTCTGGTCTCTCTCTGGTCTCTCTCTGTTCTCTCTGGTCTCTCTCTCTGGTCTCTCTCTGGTCTCTCTCTGGGCTGTCTGTATTTACTGTATAATAAACAAATGTGAAACCCAAGACCTTTATTTTGAAGTATTTCCTGTTTTTGCGGCGCTGTGAATGGACTTGAACTCAGAGGAGGCGCGGACGTCAGCCTGAAGCCACACCTCCTCCTCCTCCTCCTCCTCCTCCTCCTCCTCCTCCTCCTCCTCCTCCTGAACCAATCGATCAGAGTCTAATTCAGGCCATGGACACTCGTCTGTTGACAGAGTGCAGCAGGACTCTCACAGAGCTCTGTCAAACCATAACAAAGCTTTAGCATTCATACTTGCCCTTAATACTGACTGTTTTTTTTCTTCTGTGTTCATTCAACTTCTGTGAAGAGAGAAAAGAATCGAGTTCAAGGACCGCGGTCTGCACGGATTGTTAATGTATTTATTTATGGTAGAAGTTAATACACTACGAAACTCAAAGTGCTGAACAAAACAAGCAAAGAAACAACAAAATCACAAACTCTCTGGGTTTCTCTGTTCTCTATTTCTAGTGTCTCTCTGGTCTCTCTTTCTAGTCTCTCTCTGGTCTCTCTTTCTAGTCTCTCTCTGGTCTCTCTCTGGTCTCTCTCTGGTCTCTCTTTCTAGTCTCTCTCTGGTCTCTCTTTCTAGTCTCTCTCAGGTCTCTCTTGGGTATGTCTCTGGTCTCTCTCTGGTCACTCTCTGGTCTCTCTCTGGTCTCTCTCTGGTCTCTCTCTCTCTCTGGTCACTCTCTGGTCTCTCTCTGGTCTCTCTCTAGTCTCTCTCTGGTCTCTCTCTGATCTCTCTCTGGTCACTCTCTCTAGTCTCTCTCTGGTCTCTCTCTGGTCTCTCTCTCTCTGGTCTCTCTCTTTGGTCTCTCTCTAGTCTCTCTCTGATCTCTCTTTATCGCTTCATGGCTCAGTTGAAAAAAATATACCTTTTTGTAAATTTCTCCTATGTGAGATAAATAAAGCAAATCTTATCTTTTCACAAAATGGCATTGCACTCATGGTCTATCCCCATAAATAATGTATTTCTATTAAAGCCAGGGTGCGTAAGTTTAAAACCATACTTAGAAATTAAATTAGTAACTGGTAGCTAGACTAAAAATCTCAAGGTTGCACCCCCTTCACCGCCTGGAAGCCTCTTCAGTCCTGAATCTAGAGCCTCTGTCCTGGATCTATAGCCTCAGTCCTGGATCTACAGCCTCAGTCCTGGATCTACAGCCCCAGTCCTGGATCTATAGCCTCAGTCCTGGATCTACAGCCCCAGTCCTAGATCTACAGCCTCAGTCCTGGATCTACAGCCTCAGTCCTAGATCTACAGCCTCAGTCCTGGATCTACAGCCTCAGTCCTGGATCTACAGCCTCAGTCCTGGATCTACAGCCTCAGTCCTGGATCTACAGCCTCAGTCCTGGGTCTACAACCTCAGTCCTGGGTCTACAGCCTCAGTCCTGGATCTACAGCCTCAGTCCTGGATCTACAGCCTCAGTCCTGGGTCTACAACCTCAGTCCTGGGTCTACAGCCTCAGTCCTGGGTCTACAGCCTCAGTCCTGGGTCTACAGCCTCAGTCCTGGGTCTACAGCCTCAGTCCTGGGTCTACAGCCTCAGTCCTGGTCCCTTGCTGATGCAGGACAGTCTAAAGAACAGCGATGGACATGAATTAACATTTCTGAACCAATACCATTTATTCTTGTATAGCTCTAAATCACTACAGAAGTCTTCTTACAGGACATAATAAAACCATTGAAATCACCCACACAGATCAGAGAATCAACAGTTAAAACACAAATATATACTACATGGTATTGGACCATATATATAATGTCTCTCCCTTGCCTGGCCTGCCAGACACTCCTCCTTTCTGTTCAAAAGAAGAACCGTCTGGACACCTCTTCCTAGCCTATCATTTCACGATTTTACCCACATCGGTCCAATCACGCACCGAGAGGCGGGACTTCCTTTCACCTTTGAGTTGCTAATAACTCCTCGTATCTTTAAGTTTTTTTTACAAAATCGACAGCAGTCGTTTACATTTGCACTAGCTGACATGCCGCCATCCCTTGTTTTGTGTTTACTGAAACGGCTTGGGTGCCGCTAGTTGCTGCGTCATATCCTGTATGCATCTAATTGGTTGATGCAGTCTGTCAACCACGCCCACCGGGAATTCGCTGAGATCAAGCTCGTTCCCAGACTATATGTCTTTGAAAAAGCATATCGTTTGGCAGGCCAGGCAAGTCTCTCCCTATGTTGAAGGTCCATACATGTTGTAGAATGTTAAAGTGTCCTAGATCATCACAGTCCTTCTTGTTAGACACTAACTGACTCCTGCATCAGAGGAAAAACTCTAAAACCCAGTGGGAAAAAAGTGAGAAACCTCAGGGAGAGAGGGATCTGCTCCACACAGACGGACGGCCTGTAGATCCAGGACTCAGACTGTAGAACGAGGACTGAGGCTGTAGATCCAGGACTGAGGCTGTAGATCCAGGGCTCAGACTGTAGAACGAGGACTGAGGCGGTAGATCCAGGACTCAGACTGTAGAACGAGGGCTGAGGCTGTAGACCCAGGAC